CGTCTTTTTCACTGTGTCAGCTCCTCGGCCGGCTTTTCGTGGGTTTTCCGCCACACAGGTATGCAGACAACTATTATCATTCAAAGTCAAGAGAGCTCCTAGCTGGTGCGCAACCTCATCATAATTTAGGAGTAGCAGCATTCGAGGGGAGATGGTGTTGCTCAGCTCACACTAAGGATACGCCAGAACGGATAAAACCCCTCCAAGTGCTTATACGGAGAAAACCTCTAAGATAGTGATTCTTACAGTAAACAAAATAAACATTGAGATCGTTAGCACGCCAACCATCAAGCGACGCAACACTAGCCAAAGCAAATAGAAAAGTTGTTTGTTGCACAGATAAACGATCCAAAAGGACAGAAGATTCAGTTATTTAAATACAGGCAAAAAAAATATGTCCCACTAGAGACAACTAAAAACAACAATTTCAACTCAAAAAAAAGAGTGATTCTATTTGAAAAATCGGTAATTCAACAATTAAATTAAAATTTTACAAGAAATGATTAAAACAATAACCGAAAGAACTCGTGCAATAGCTGATGAGCTGAGTGACGGCTGTTCTTTACCAACGGCAGAAAGTTTATCAAATGTACGGTTAGGCGCTCTGAAATCTGCTCCACAGTGAGAGCCGACCGGATCGGGATATATAGCAGAAATACAATTCATCGTCAAATCTCGAAGTGATCGCCGTGAGTCAAATGCTGAAAATTGAAACAAACTTCAATTTATTAAACACCTGGAAACTGACAAACAAATTCTTATTATAATGAGCACCAAGTTTTAGCCCCTTTAGGGCTTGTGGAGTACCGAAAAAGTTCTTTACTACTGTGAGTGAAACGCTTTAGCGTACCAAAGCCTAAGAAGTACGGAAGAAGTCTCCAATGCAGTGCGTATTCCATTTCTCCGTAAACGTTATTTTCGAGAATCAGTGTTGAAAAGTTAAATGGCATCTACTTTTTCAAACTCCAAAAATGAGGATCTGGCGCCAATGAACGGATTACAAAAAACTGAAGTGACAAATGGAGGGGAGAGGGGGGCAGAAAGAGGGAGAGGAGGGGGGGGGGGCAGAAATAAGCGAATTGACCGGGAATACGCGACTTGTGTCTATCTCTCCAAGAAAACCACAATGATCGGGTTAGCTAGAACGAAGAAAACCGAGATCAATACAAACTGGCCACGTCCGGTTTGCTGCTAAAGCAACCCCTCCCATCCTCCTCCCCCTCCTCGTCTTCCCACCACTCCTTACCTTCCCCTCCCCCGTCCTTATTTGCCTCTCTCAGGGTACTGTTGATAATCTCACTAATAAGCGAAATAGATTAAAAACACTTCCAAGTGTCTGTCTCCTTTATCTTCATAGAGAATGAACAACAGGAACAAGCGGCAAAAGTGGAAGAGGAAGGAGGAGAAGGAGAGAAAAGCATCAAGAGGGATAATTTTTACCCTCGAAACATATCTTTTTAGTTCGATGCTTTACTGTGTGATCAATGAAAAATGTTACTTGAAAACCAGTCTCTGTCGCCCGTTTTCTGGCCTTTGTTTCCGGTTCAAAATGCTATATATAATGCTTTACTTCTCCATTTATGAAGCTGATGCTGAGGTAAAGCTAAGAGCGAATAAGTTTCAGTGGTAGGATATGAAGCAAAAAGAGTGGATTGAATATATATCCAGAAGTAGACTGGATATATATATATATGTATGTATGTGTGTATGTATGTATGAATGTGTGTATGTATGTATGTATGCTGTTATGTATGTATGTATGTATGTATGTATGTATGTATGTATGTATGTATGTATTATGTATGTATGTATTTATGTATGTATGTATGTATGTATGTATGTATGTATGTATGTATGTATGTATATATGTATGTATGTATGTATGTATACATAAAAGTTTCCTCCTAGCGGCTCCTCTCTCCCTCCGAATTTACTTCTCCGATTTTTTAACTCAATTTCAAGAAAGTTATCAACATACAGTTCGGTGTGGACATTTTTGGTTCACTGCTTCCCTGCGAGAAATTCGTTGGCGTTTTTTTGAGCTCTGCGCTTTCCTCCAAAAAATCTTTCGATCGTTGCGGAACAGATGGAGGAGTATTCTCAGTATCAACAGAAACCACTCGTTTTGGAATATCTGTGGATGTTGCCGAAGGAAGAAGTTGCGAATCTGTGAAATCTGTAAAAAACACGGTTCCAGTGAATCACAGTGGTACCAAGAATATCAAAACTGCTTGGAATATCGGTGTAGAATTCTTTTGCTAGTGATGTTACTAGGATGCTTCCATACGCTGAGCGCAGCTGCGCAAGGTCTTTTGATCCCGAGCTACTTGACTCGATGTTAGGCTCAATCACAATAATAATAAAAAACAATGATAATGATAATAATAATGATAGTAATAATGATAATAATAATAATGATAATAATAGTTACAATAATAATAATAATGATAAGGTAATAAAAATAACAGTAATGATAATCGTAATAAAAGTAGAAG